CCGCCCTTCATGGGCCCGAAGCTCGAGGCCTGGTTGTTGTAGCTGCCAAAGTCGTTGTAGCTGCCCCCGCCCCCAAAATTACTGCCTGGGGGAAAAATGGGGTCAAATGGGGTCAGTGTGGGGTCAGTGTGGGGGAATTGAGAGATTTGGGGTGGGAGAATCAAAGATTTGGGAGATTTGGGATGGGGGAATTGGGGGATTTGGGAAATTTGGGAGAGGGAAATTCGGAGATTTGGGGTGAGGGAACTGGGAATTCTGGGATGGATTCATTGGGATCCCAAAGGCCATGGAAGGTTGGGAATGGCTTCTCATAACCCCAGACACCCCGGGGAACGTTCCCATAACCCTAGGGAAGGTTTCCCATAACCCCAAACACCCCAATGAGAAGATTCCCATCACCCCAATGAAGGTTCCCCATAACCCCAGAGAAGGTTTCCATAATCCCAAACACCCCAGGGACGGTTCCCATAACCCCAAGGAAGGTTCCCCATAACCCCAAACACCCCAGGGACAGTTCCCATAACCCCAAACACCCCATGGAATGTTCCCACAACCCCAAACACCCCTGGACGGTTCCCATAACCCCAAACACCCCGGGGAATGTCCCCCATACCCGAAACACCCCGGGACGGTTCCCCATAACCCCAATGAAGGTCACCCATAACCCCAAACATCCCCGGGGACGGTTCCCATAACCCAGGGACAGTTCCCATAACCCCAAACACCCCAATGAAGGTTCCCATCACCCCAGGACAGTTATGGGGTTCCCATAACCCCAATGAAGGTTCCCATCACCCCAAACACCCTGGGGACGGTTCCCATTAACCCCAAACACCCCGGGGAACGTTCCCATAACCCCAAACATCCCCGGGGACGGTTCCCATAGCCCAGGGAATGTTCCCATAACCCCAAACACCCCAATGAGAAGATTCCCATCACCCCAATGAAGGTTCCCCATAACCCCAATGAAGGTTCCCCATAACCCAGGGACAGTTCCCATAACCCCAAACACCCCGGGACAGTTCCCATCACCCCAAACACCCCATGGAACGTTCCCATCACCCCAAAGCCGTGTCCCCCACCTGTGCCCGCCTCGGCCAGCCCGTTGCGCACGGCCAGGGCGGGTCCCCGTGCCGGCCGCCGGCCCCCGCTGCCCCCGAAGCCGCCGCCGCCGCCGTTGTAACCGTCGTAGGATCCGCTGCCGCCGTAACCGCGGCTCCCGCCCGAGTACCCGGGACCGCCGCCGCCCCCGTACCCTGGGGACACGGGACACGGTGACAGAGGGGACATGGGAGGGGAGGGGTGTGGCCATGGGGAGAGGATGGGCGGGGCCATGGGAGGAGATGGACACGGCCATGGCAGGGGATGGACACGGCCATGGGGCGGGGCTGGGTGTGGCTGGGTGTGGTCCTGGTGCATGGCAGGGTGGGGCAGGGCGTGGTCCTGGGGTGGGGTGTGGCCCTGGGTGTGGCTGGGCTCTGGGTGTGGCCGGGTGTGGTCCCAGGGTGTGGCTCTAGGGGTGTGTCTGGGTGTGGCCCTGGGTGTGACCCTGGGGCTGGGTGTGTCCCTGGGGTGTGGCTCTGGGTGTGTCCCTGGGTGTGTCTGGGTGTGGTCCCAGGGTGTGTCCCCACCCAGTCTCACCATCAGCACCAAAGCCGTTCAATCCAACATGGCCACCCCGAACCCCAATGGAGGGGATGAACCGAGAGGGGACCGCGCCATGGACGGGACCCGGGGGAGATGAGGACACGGGGACAGGGATGGGGACACGGGGACAAGGACAATGGGACCGGAGCGGTGGCAGCTGTTGGGAGGTGTCCATGAGGCCAGACGGGAGGGGTGAGTGTCCATCCCATTCCAGTGTCCATCCTGTCCCACTGTCCATCCCCTGTCCCTCTGTCCACCCCGTGTCCGTCACTCACCGCGTCCCCCGAAGTTGCCCCCGCGGCTGAAGTTGTCACCTCCCCCGAAGCCACCGCGGCCGCCGCCACCGCCGAAGTTTCCGGAGCCGCTGCGGCCTGGCAGGGGTGGGGGAGGGGAGGGGGTTTAGGCACAGGGGGTGGCATGGCCGGGGTGGCCGGGGGGACCC